CGTTTAGGTTCAAGGGGGGGGGGGGCGCGATACGGTAGGTAAGGTAGGGGTACGCTAGGGGTAGGGGTGCGCCGGTGCGGTCGTGGTACTAGAGGCACGCCAGGAGTATGCTGGGGTACGCTAGAGGTACGCTAGGGGTACGCTAGGGGTCCGCTAGGGGTACGTTAGAGTACACTAGGGGTACGCTACGGGTCCGCGGGCAGTCTGCCAGAGGTGTGGTCGTGAAGGGGGCGGTGGTGCTAGCGGGGTGTGCGACGCTGGGGGTACGCTAGAGGTACGTCAGGGTGTGCTCGAGTATGCTAGGGGGCTACCTCTCAAAAGGGGCGGTGCTAGCGGGGGGAGCAGGGGTACGCTGAGGGGCACGCTAGGGGGTAGGGGTACGCCAGAGGTGCGGTTGTGACCTCGGTGCTAGCAGGAGGGCTGCGTCTTCGGGTACGGTTACGCTGGGCAGTGAAGGGGGCACTGCCAGCACAAAAGCCGCGATACGGTACGCTAGGGGACGCTAGTAGGGGGGCCGCGACACGGTCGGGGTACACTACAAATACGCTAGGCGTACGCTAGAATTAATTACACTGGGGGTGCGGTCGTGAGGGGACGTTGCTAGCAGGGAGGCTGCGATATAGAGGTACGCTATAGGGCTGACGCTCATGATGCTGGGTCTAGGGGCCGCAAGCAGTGTCCAAAATGCACTTCGGGATTTGGAGGGTCGGCTGACGCTCATGATGCTGGGTCTTGGGGCTTTGGCAAGCAGTGTCCAAAATGCGCTTTGGGACGGGGTAGCGCATTTTGGAGGCAGGACTGGCTCCCGATGCTGGGTTTTCGGGCCTTCTTTGACGCTTCCTGGCAAGCAGTGTCCAAAATGCGCTCCGTGCAGGTCGACGCAGTAAGAGTCAGTAAAAGGCGCATGAGCATTCAGGGGGTATCATAGTAGGGATAAGGCGGGCCGGCTGCGGGCGGGGTATGGGTGAGGCTGACGAGATGGCCTCCGGAGTGTTTTTGGGTTCCTAGCTTGACCTTGTTGAACGAGGTTGCAAAAGGTTGCGAGTTTCACTTTCTTTTGGAGTCGCTGGCGCTCTTCTATCACCAGACATTACATTATAGACATTGCTGCTCATCCAGGCAGCAAGTATTCGCTGCTGGTGCATAGCTGTCTTCAGAGAGTTCTGTGTGCAGCAAACGCTTCCGTACAGGTCAGCTTAGCCATTACATAGCCCCTCGGCCCTCAACCTGGCCCGGGACAGTCTTCAGGCAGGTCAGCAGGTTCTTGCACTGCTTCAGCTACCACCCAAAACTGCTTCTTGATGCGAGTGCCATGCGCCTTCAGGCATGTTGCCACGAGTGCGACCTGTTCTACTAGCATTACTTTGCGCTGGCTCTCTGATCTGCAGGAGAGGGCTTTGCACTTGGCAGTCAGGAGAGCACCTCCATAAAAGGCAATTTTCTACGTACTGCAAGAAATGGGTCTGGATCGGGAACGCAAGGCCATGATCCAGAGGGTCTGGAATGGGGTATGCCAATCGACATGTTCGAAGCTCGAAACCAAAATGTTCGTGGGTAGCACAAGAGTGCACGAGTCAACGCCGCTGTGCCCTGCTGGAGTAGTTTCTTCCAAATACTTCAATCCGCCTCGCTGCAATTTGACCGCCGTGTTCTGCTAGCTACATGCTGACTTCAAGAAGGGCAAGCGCCTCAGCCGCAGGGCGGAAGTGAAAGGCCCTCAGTACCAACATTGACCATCAACCTGTGAGCTCCATGATGGTACTACATTTCTTCATGTGCGTTCCGTATGGCATGGGTCAAGCCGCCTCATTCCAGAGAATCTGCATGTTGACTGATGAGGCGGGCCCCTTCTTTATCGTAGACTCTCCGTAGACTCTCCGAGACTAACATTTCAAGCTCTCCGGCGAAGAAGATCCGTCCAATCACGGTGCATTGCATGCTCCCATTATCAACGTGCCAGCAGAATGAAGGAGCCTCCCATCGTTCTCAGTGCTCACAACTTGGAGCACCTGAACGGCAATTGGTAGAACATCCAGGTACTGCTTGCGCTCATAAAACTGCTGCCTTGGTGGATTGCACCGAGCAGTTGACACCACACTATGAGATCAGAGGGAAGGGAACAACATGAAGAAAAGAGCATAGATTCCGTGCCAAAGCAAAGGGCCCTCCCCGCGGACTTCTCCGCCGTTCCGATTTGGCTCGGCTCATCCACGGTATGCAGGCCTAGGGTTGGAAAGACTTGACGAAGATTTCTCCCAACTCCATTGATCCCCATGTGGACTGCAGGTGCTTCTGGCAAGGTCAGCAAGGCCCGCAAAATGACTCCTAAGCAATGGGCAAAGTGCCTTGCCTCCTTTATTTGTAAGAGATGCCACTTGAAATATACTTATGCGCACACTGAAGCGCACCTTTTGTAAGTGCTGCAGAAGTTGAGCGGCGTGCTACAGTAGAGGAAAAGTTAGGTGCAGCAAAACAATTAGCAGAGCGCAACGCACTCTGGCTTATTCGACATTCAACGCCCTACCGCAAGCCAAGGTACTTGTTCTCCGTTCACGGTGTGAGCGGTGTGCTTTCCGTTCTGGCAGGAAGCATTTGGACTACAGCCGCTGTCAAGCAATGTCCCAACAACCGTGTAGTCATAGCAAATTTTGAAGAGCTGAGCACAGGTCCGCTTGGCCAAGGGCATCCGTGAAGCAAGCGACGCAGAAGTTATCTTCAACGTTGTCCTGAGCGCAGTGATCTTGATCACCGGCATACAGCGGCTGAGGACATTCGTTATGGATGTGTTCAGTTGCGCACTAATCATGAACAATTGCGGTGCAATGAAGGGGCCCGACCCGCCACAAAGTGAGCTGCTACTTTGGCATCGCCAGGACAATCAGAAACTCAGATGTTGTGCTGAAGTTCTGGGTCGGCATTTCAATCCAGATCTTCGCTCTCTGTCAAGTCTTGGAAGCACCTCTTCTGGGTTGGATTCCCTATTCCGTATTCGGCAACTGGATCAGCCGCCTTTGGGGAGTTCTCTCGGTCTACTTCTATGTGAAGTGGCTGTTGCAGATCAAGAAGTGGAATGACGCTTTTGAAACCAAAAGTGATCAGACCGTAGCCCGAATTTATCACCCGTTGATGGCGCCTGCAATGGGATCTGTTGTGGTGATGGAGGTCGTGACTTTTGCCTGGGCCTGAGAGGAGCGCACATCTGTCGCTATTGGGCACTTGATGCAATTCACAATGTGTGAATGATGGCTTGCGTAGGAAGGTAGAATCAGTTAGCTTCCAAGACTTTCAACTTAATTGTTCAATTGTATTTGATGGCTACGTTCTCCATGGCATCTTGTCATCAGCAAGACCTTAGGGACCCGACTTTTCCATGCATTTGGTCAGAAACCTTAGGAATTCCAGAGAATGTATTTAGCAAGCTTGCCTCATGTGACAAGGCTTCATCCACGTGTAGGCCTTAGCGATTTTTGCTCTCAGTCAGACGTAGTCATGAAGCGGCAAAGGCTTTCTAATCAGAAGTAATAATGATACACTGAAAGGCTGCTCATTGCTCAGATCTTGGCGCTCAGACACTTAATACCTCAGGTTAGGGCAGGGTAGCTCAGCGCATGTCTCCGTGCACCTAGCCGGGCCGCGTGCAAGGGGTGGTGCGTAGAGATGGCACCTGATGCCAATTGCCAGTTGCCAGTGCAACAGTGGAAGTGTTTTGCACTACACGGCTGCCTGCCACATCATTTACATATCATGTAATAATTGTGATCCAGGAAGCTCAGTCCAAGCAGCTGTCCTCCATGGCGGGTCATGGTGTTGATAATGATGATGACGATGATGATGAGAAGACTTGTCATCTCCCAACATGCAATGAGATGCAGAAGTTACATGCAGCCAGCCAAGGTCAACTTTGTGGAGCTGCATTTCAATTTGGTCAGCAGGCAATGCGAATTGTGGGGGCAACAAGTAACAAGCATAGCAGCATAATACCTGCCGGCCTCGAGCAGCTGACCGGCTGGACACGCTCTCGAAGAAGATTCTTCGGGTTGCTTGGAATTTCCCAGCCATGTTGCTCCAGGATGTGTGAAGGAGCAGCGCAGCCAGTTCCCTCACTTAGCCGCAGGGACAGGAAATGATTTCACATGTCACGAAAGCCTCCTGGGGTAGCTGAGTTTCTTGCCAAGCGATCGCCCGCAACAATGGGTGACCCCCGGCCGGGTGGCAATTTTGCTAGGGTTTTTGGAGTTAGGCTGCGTCCAGGGGAGTGATCGGGCCGGGAGGATTCTTTTCCGGTCATAAGGAGGTGAACATGTTAGGTTGAGCCAAAAGGACTGATTCCCATGGTTGACAAGCAGCTTTAGCCACATGTTTTGCAGATCTCGCGGCTTGACCCAGACTAAGTAACACATCTTTGGAAGTGCATTGATGAGTCTTGATGGGAGCACAACAAGGGGTTCCTGCAGACAGGCCGAACATCCCGAACGATTACAGCATCTACAAATACCAAGGGGACGTTTATCGAAATTGGAAATATCCTTCCCTTCCAGATCCTTCACCTTCCTAAGAGATGCATCCTACACAAGGACGCCTGTACGAGCCGGATCCATAGTGCAGTGCCCTTGACCTAATCCCTACATGGTCTGCTGTGCCTTTCAAACCCTATGGATCTGCCAGAAGATCAGCTTCGCGTGGCTCTTCAAGTCACCTATGCAATTAGTAGGGTTGGCAGGCTGGGGTGCACACGTCTAACAAAGCACTGGCTTCCTCTCTGCCATTGTGGACCAGGCTTGGCAGTCGAGCCAAGAAGGCAAGCAAGGAAGCAAGGACTTTTGGTGGAGACCACAGGCAGGCATGAACATTGGCTGGACAATGACCCGGCAGTCTTGAGAAGTTTGGCAGTGGCACCACTGGCGACATCCTTGAGCTTGAGGCCGGTTCACCACGAGGAGAGAGCAGGCACACCGCAGCATGTTGAGGTCACCAGCTGCATTTTGCCGGACAAAACGCCATGACCAAATCACATGTACGTGGGTCAAGGTCACCACTCACACAGGCTGGCAGTCACCAAATGGGCGACGCCATATGTACCAGGCCATTGATTAGTGCTCGCTTTCTGAATGGTTTCCCCGCATCGAGCATGCGGTTTCCAGCTTGTGGAATGACCTGGATGAGCTCTCAGGCAAGGTACTCGCATGTGGTTGTTCTCTTCAGAGACAATGTGAGGCGGACGCCTTGGCGGGCTTGGTTTCCAAAACGGTCGGGAGGTGTCCCAGCCTTCAAGCTCCAACACGAGTCATCGGTGGCCAGGCGAATTGTTATGGGGGCTATCGCCGCCTTGTACCTTTCACAAGAAGAGCAAGCAGGTGACAGCAGCTTGTGACCTGGGCCTGCTGGGCTTGTTGGTGGTCCTGCTCTCCTGGAGCAATGTTATGCTGGAACTGGCATTTATTCAAGGCACACCGGCCGTGGGTTCCCCACAGCCTTCCGGAATCTACTCGCCACTGAGAAATCCCGCACTCCCAAGTTTTGCCAGGTGCAACCGAAAACAGCCAGCCGATCAGCGCATCCATGGCCACTGGTCTTCATGATTCATTTCTTTGGAGCCAGTCTGTGAAAGACGCAGACTCAGGTTATATGGTTCTGTTACGCAGCCACTCAGATACTCTGAGCTCTTGCGGTGAGTCCGTTCAAGATTCCAAACCTCGGGCAAACACAGCGTGATCGACAATGTTCACCAAGGACGGCAAACAGCCCTCCCAGCGACATTCATAAGCTCGTGCTTTGAGAATTCACTAAGACCTGTGCAGCACATCTCAGCAGCTATAAACTGCCTAGCGGACGCTTTTGCTGGGAAGGCGGAGGCGAAGAGTGGCCAGAGGCCCATCGCCATTGTCCCATGAACAGAAAGTATTCGCTCTGCTGTGTCGTCACTTGGTGGCACGGGGGCTGGGATGAACCAACTTACCAAATAGTAGACCAGTGCTGTTCGGCCTCCTGCTGACGGTTGCCAGCTTCAAAAAGAGTTAATTAGTCGGTTCACGGAAGCCGTGGGCAAAAGGCTGCCCTATGCGATGGTGTGAATGTACTTCGACGACGCATACGACGCACACTTGTCCGACTTGGCATCCCACAACCGGAGCGATAATGGGGCTTTGGCAAAGCCAACACCTTGATGGGCACTCCTTTGGAAGATGACAAACGGCAACCTATGCGACCTGCAGGTACCTTTCTTGGCCTCGAATTTGATTTTAGCCAAGTCGCTGAGGCTGAGGCATCCTCAGTCGCAGCTTGGGTCAGAGCAAGGTTGCAGGCCAAGGTGGCGGACATCCTGGTTACAGTAGAAAAAGATGCTAAACTACGTCCGGCATTTTGGAGCAGGGTGTTCATGGTCGTATTGGCACGAGGGGCTTGCAAACCCTAAAAAGATCAGACAGCACAAGCAATCTGAGGAGTTCACTATACTGATTTTGTTACATATTTTGAAGTCATCCGCGCAGTTCTGGCGCTGCGCCAACGCAGGCAGATGGAACATTGATTATCCCCACCCCTCTGCTAAAGATTTCTGGCCCGTAGCGATGCAGCGGAAGATATCCCGGGGCAGGGCCCGGGTGTTTTCTCATGGTGTGCGGCCACGACCTGTGTCACAAGGCGGCGTTCGTTGCGAACGTGGACAGCCGAGTCTACTCTCTTTGCAGCCCGGGAGAAACTAAGCTTGCATAAAATTGCGCAGCACAAGCTCTCAATGATCCTCTACGTTTTGACAGCTAGAGCATCCAGACTCAGGGGCAAAGGCACCTGGCACAGTAACGATATGTGGCAGGTTTCATGTCGTTGTTTCGCTGAAAGCGTGGTTCTTCTGGGAGTGGATCCCCGGCCTGACTCAGTCAGTCGATTGGGAGCGGTGGGTCAGAGCTATCCATTTTCCTTATTCCATGCTGACTTCCCCGTCCTTCTCTCTCCGCTGGGAGCAGTGGCCGAAGTGCTTCAATTTCTTGTGGGTGCTTTGGGATTTGAATCTGTTGGGTGTACCGATCTGATCATGTTTACAAGCCCCCTGCCAGTACCTGACCTACCTTCCGTTTCAGCCCGTTGCCCCCAAGCAAAATCAAGCAACGTAGTTTGAAACAGCACCATGTCTGATACCCGCGTTGTAGCGTTCTGGTTCGACAAAATGGAGTTGTCACACACCAATAATTCAGGTCTTGGAATGGTCAGACCCCGGCAGAGTCTTGCGCCCCATCGATATCTCTCGAATATGCAGTCTGTTCCGTCCACAAGTTTTTGCTCTGGTAGGTAGGATTTGTGAGTCAATTTCAACGTTCGCAAGGGCAGAGCGCACAGCAGATCAGTCCATGCCATCCATGCCTGATCGTTGCCATTTTAGCCAAAAATTCGATCGGTCGTTTTTTGGTCGATGCCAGGACTTGTGAGGACTTCTCAGATATTTTCCTGGACAGATCGGTTGAGACCGATTGATCGATCCACAGCACGGGTCATGATCCCACGTCAGACGAGCATTTTAGCAACTGCCGTCTTTTCTCTTACAAGCGCCTGTACTTCGCAGAGACAAAAAAAACAAGAATGGTGATGTCTGACCTAGTCAAGTAGGCTGGAAGACCAGACCTGGCTCAGATCATGCTCATGGCCATCCGAATCTTCAGTTGTAGAATTGCCAAGGCTTATCGCGATGTTTCTGTAGCTGCAGCTAAAACGAACATTTTTCTTGACAAACGTCATTTCACTAGCCTGTTTGTGTTTCCGGCCTGGAATTGGAAGCTCATCTAGCGCATGTGGCAGGTGTGCAGCAGCGCAAGCCTTGTTCTTGGACTCTCAGCTGGTGTCGCTTGCTGTCAACAATGTTGCGCAATTCACCCTGACACTCGCGAACCAGAAGAAGGCCTGAGTCTATCTGCAAGATGTTATGATCAGCTCTGCGGAGTTCTAGTGGGGCATGTTGAGATCGACATCAGGTAGCACGACTCCCTGCATAACGCTGTTACATGTGTCGGTGCTGATCTGCCATTGACTGCCCGGAGGTCGCTAACATTCAGACATTGTTCTACATTCTTGGCGCCATCGGCACCGTCCAGTTTGGACTGCTCATGTGGGTGCATCTGAAGCACTTGGGGCTGGCAGCGCTGAATCCGCTGCTCATGATTCCACTCGTCTGTCGCGGGGCATGAGAAACGGCTGTGTGCTTTACTGAATTGCAAGTGTAGGACCTCAGCTCGGGACTTCCAATAATCTAGTCCTGACTCGAATCACTGGGATCTGATCAAGTTTCTCACTTTCCTGGCTGATGAGACTCTAAATATGCATAAATATGCATTGTTGACAAAAGCTCACAAAACCCGCATTTGAAGAAAGTGACATTCAGCAAACGCATGAACTCCTCGGCGTTCATGTTGGCAATGCAGGACACTTTACAGCTCTGAGGGCTTCCGTCCTTCTAGCGGCCACACAGTAGGGTTCTGAGACGTCACAGAGCGATAGGTTTTGTAGTTTTTCTTAATTGATTGTCGTAAGCCAGGTGCAGGTCATTTGGCGTCTTTATCTGTATGGCTTCGAGGAAGGAGTAGTTGAATGTTGCATTTCAGAGCCTCGGTAAAACAAACAGCACTCAGAGCGGATGTTGTTGGGTAGTATTGGAATGATCAAAGGTGTGCCCTGACTTGAACCGATGCTTGTTTCGGGTTTGAGGATTACAGTCTACAACATCTAGAAAAAGAAGGCATGAGTCGCAAAAGCAGCCGTGAAAGTATTGACACTTTTTTGCGGCGTGGCTGAATGCAGAGTTTTTGCACGCCAATATGTTGTTGCGGTCCAAAAGTGCACGCGGCTATTGACACCTTTCCATTTTTTATGTTGCACATCTCGCTGTGCTTTTAGCATGACTTCAGGCAGTTTTGTGGTTGGGGTCTAAGATCGCTGAAGACGCATCGTGGGTTTTCGGCCATTTTCGAGTGCTCGAGAGGCCGTGCCGGAAACACATGCACGACACGGGTCCCAATCGAGTCCCTAAAAAACCGTAAACCTCCACCACAGACTAGGAACGCTGCCTGGCAAGTTCTGGATCAGGGCTTAGACGCAGCCGTGAGAGGGTTCTCGTTTTTTTTTTGTTCGGCAACGTGACTAAACGCACTGAGGTTTTGCACGTCCACATTTTTGAGGTCCAAAATCGTGCGCAAGCTTTTGCAAGCAAATGTCCATATGCGATCTTGTGCGTTTGCTGTGGTGTTCGCACGGTTTCATACGATTTCATGCCCGCGAAACACAGTGGGTTTTATTGCGGAGAATTGTGGAAAAAACCTCTCGTAATCTCTCGTTGCTTTCGTCATGTTCAAACTCCTTTCCATGTTTCCCTATGGTACTTGTTCGCCCGCCGTCCCCAGGCCATAGCTAGTTCCACATGCATATTTACAACGAAGTGCCCCTCGCCCCCACTCCCCTCACTGCAGCGAAGCCGAGATCATCCCTGGCATGAAAATTGTTCACAACCGTTTCACGGGAGCCAACAACAACAAGTACAACTACCACGACCCCTCCTTCCTGCTGCAGCTCCTCCTACTACTACTACTACTGCTACTAGCCGCCCGCCCCCTAGGGCCTACACTTTACTTAAAATGGAATATAAATTTCCCGAGGAGGCGGCCAGTAGCAGTA